CTGAAGCTGGTCAAACAAATCATCAATACGAGGCATGGGGTAACGGTTCTTCACCGTCACCTTGTTCAGCTGCCTGTAATCAATACACATCCTCATAGTCCCGTCCTTCTTCTTCACAAACAGAACAGGAGCACCCCAAGGCGACACACTCGGACGGATAAACCCCTTACCTAAGAGATCCTCTAACTGAACACTGATCTCCCTGAGCTCTGCAGGAGCCATTTGGTAAGGCGGAATAGAAATAGGACGGGTGTCGGGCTCCAAATCTATGGCAAAATCAATGTCACGATCTGGAGGTAGGCCAGGTAGGTCTGTAAGGAACACATCTGCAAACTCTCTAACCACAGGAACTGAGTCAACTGAAGAGCCCTCCCTACTCACATCTCTCACATAAGCCAAATAAGCTAAACACCCAGAAGCAACCAACCGTCTAGCCCGCATAAAAGAGATGATCCCTGTCGGTGTGTGACTATAAGCACCCTGCCACAACACTAGGGAAATGCCAGGCATGGTTAAAGTAACGGTCTTGGCATAGCAATCCAAGACCGCATGGTAGGGGGATAACCAGTCCATGCCCAAAATCACATCAAAATCAACCATATCTAGCAAAATAAGATCAATTATAGTATCACAACCCTGGATAGTCACTAAGCAAGATCGTAATATATGATCCACTACTAAGGACTCACCTACCGGGTCGAAACATGAACTGGATCTGCCAAAGACTCAGACCTCATACCCAATCGGGGAGCAAAATAAATAGATACATACGAGAATGTGGACCCGGGATCAAATAATACTGTAGCAGGCTGATGGCATAATAATAGCGTACATGTGATAACATCGTTAGATGCCTCAGTCGTCACCCTCGCCGGGGCTGCGTAGAAATGACCCTGAGCACCTCTGCCCGATGCATCTGATCTACCACCTAACCTGCCTCCCCGAGCTCCGCCTCTGGTGACCAAACGAACGACCAGGTGACCGAATTGTCAGTCTCAGCAAGTCATAAATGACTTGGGGTCGCTATAAGAACGCTCTAAACGACACACAGAAGGCAAGACACAGAAATGACCATGAGGGTCATTACACCCGTGAAGTTGGAGTGTGTAGTTGGGATTTCGGGTATAGATGGAAGGGGCTTTAGACCATTTTCTCCATTATTTAACATGCAATTTCGGTCTACACAAAAACCACTCTAGTATATCAATTCGTCCACTCAAGGATTAATTTGTGATAAATACAACACAATATATAAACTCGATCTACTCACAAAACCAACACATAGAGAAACACATGTACCAGGGGTGGTACCCGATCTAACCGTACGTCAATTAGAGGTGCGTGTTCGGCTCTTCGATTTAGTTTTATTAAACTTTGATGTGTTTCTTTGATATTTGGTTTTAGAAAAATGTGCACCATATATCAAACAAAACAAATTCGGTTCGATTCAATTTAGTTCGGTGTCTTTAAATCGATTTTCGGTGCGAATAAAAAATAAAATGAGGACAAAATCAAAGTATAAGATACCTAAATTTAAACGCCATGGAACACTTATTGTTCTACTAAAAGACTATATTTATCTTTGTCAGAAATATTGTGCCTCAAGCTACTTCTCAAGAAAAACAAGGACGAAGACAAGTTCCTTTACATAATGTATATTGATAAAAAATATGTTTTGGTTCCTCTTGGAAATTAATATTTGAAGTTAACTATTGAACTATACATTTGTTACTACTTTGATTTGTTTATGAATGATTTAATTGTTAATTGACTTTTTATTTTTAGTTAAGAGAATGCATATATATATAAGTTCAGTTCTTCGGTGCACTGAAGTTCTGAGACTCTTACATTAGAGAAACGAACTTTTGAAAAAATAACACCGACACCGAATCGAAAAACTGAAATTGAAGAACCGAATTAGTTCAGTTTGATTTGATTTTTTGATTTTTCGATTTTTCGATATTTATGTCCACCCCCACCGTTAATGAACTTGTACCGGCATGGTGCCCGAGCTAACTAATAAGATATTCCCTATCAGGAATAGTAGTTGAGCTAAGTGAATATATGCCAAACATGGTATCCAAGCCAACTAATTAGAGATATCATGTATAGTACATGTGCCAACCATTAGTCTGTACCAGACATGGTACTCGAGCTAACCAACAATCTCATATCGCAATCACCACTGAGCTAAGTGAATATATGCAATTGCATGATATTGACACAAGCTAACATTTCAGTTTATACTCCTTTTACCTTCCTAACAATTAGCTATTACAGTAATACCAACGAAGCAGTCAGCGAACACATATAACATCAATGGAAATCAAACAACCATCACCTACTCTAAAAGACTCGTTCTAGACCATTTTTCCTCATAATCTGATTACCCACGATCAAAAGGTAACACCCGTTGACACCCAATTTTGACCTAACATTTTCAAAATTCAAAATTCAAAATTCAAAATTCATAATTTTTAAGTTTTATTTATTCAATAGTTCAAAATACAATTTTTTTTTATAATTTTAAATAAGTTTATCAATATTTATCCTTATTTGTCAAAATTTCAGGATTTTTTATTAGTTAATTTTAATTACATTATTTTTGTTACAGTCGGTTAAATACGTTCAAATATTTGTTCATTTTAATTAAATCGTTATTTTTGTTAAATTGCATTTTTTACATGTCATTAGTTACGTTGAACACATATTTTAATATTCATTTTAATTGTTACATTTGTTAATATATTAATCTTGATATTTTGCACAGTCTAGAAATTCATTCAAATATGAATAAAATTTCATACACATATATTTTATTAACTAGTGGTTTTAGCTCATAATTTTAAGATAGTGGTATTGTAATATATGTGGTTTTCGATTTTCTATATAAGGAATAGCTTGGTCATTAAATTAGAGAGGTGGTGACTAAATTTTAGAATTAGGGTTAAATTTTCAGAAATTTTACTTTATTATTCTATAGTTCATTATCTTTCTCTGGCGAACTTTCCGACCAGTTACCACCCAACCCCATTGGTCAATTTTGCCTCTTTGTTCAACCACCACAGCTTTGTGAGCTCACCTGAAACAACCTCTATTCCTCACTTTTCTAGCTTACCAGACCCTTCACTCATTTTTTCCGGCGAATTCAGCTCTAACAACAACTAGAGAACTCCATATACCAAACCAGAAACGAATCAAATCCCACTGCCAGCTCCAAAATCAGAGCAACCATGGCGAAACCCTATTGAGAGAACCAAATGACCACCCAAAAACCCTATTCATTTTCCTCTTTTTCCAGTGAGAATCATACCAACCAGAGAACCACCAAGCAACCCTTCTCGCTGTCATCTCCCTCGCAAGAAACAAACCCAAAATCGATCCAAAAACACCACTTGTTTCTCTTCTTCCAGCGAACAACCACCGAGCTCTGAGTTCCAAACCACCGGAAAACACCTGAAACAGTAGCCAAAAAACCAACCAAATCTCCATTTTTTCCGACAAACGAAACCTTACTAGACCCCAACTCGAAACAACCACCAAAACCCCTTCGTTTTTCTCCTTTTTTCCTGTGAAAGAGTCACCGGAAACGACCCCAAAATAGCAACTCCAAATGGCCAGTCCCTTTCCTTCTTCCCCCTTTACGATTTTTATTTATTTTACAGGTATTCCGGCAAGCACCAACGACCAGCGAGTTCGAATCTATCCACCTCTATTTTACTCTCCATTCTCTATAATTGGAGAGTAAAATAGAGAATGGGCACTCCAACCCATTTCCAAATCACCCTCTATTCTTCAAATTTAGAGAGTTGAATAGTTGTTTTTCAAATTTGGAGAATTACTATTCACACTCTATTTCACCTTTTCATTATTTTATTATTATTTCTATTAGTTTCTAATTAACATATTATTTTACATATAATTCCATTAATTAAATATCTAATATTCATAATTCCTTTTTAAATGTAATATAATATTTTAAAAAAATATTATTAAATATATACTATTTTAATTTCAAATTAATAGTATTTTATTTTTTTTTCTAATTTTCGTGAATAATAAAATTTTATTTTATTATTATTTTTCATTATAAAGAATACGCAAAATTAAAATGGCAAGATGAAAAAATTTAATTTAAAAATACAATACATGATATGATAATTTAAATACAAGATAACAATACAATACATAACATAATAATTTAAATACAAGATAACAATACAATACATAACATAATATTATATATATAGAATGTAAGTTTTGCTTTTTACCATGGGATGGATTTCATTATATTTTTAACCATTGGATGAGATTTTCATCCTTATCTCATTTTTTTTTTTAGATAAGTAAAATTTATCTATAAATATTAATAGGACAGTGTAATCTTCATTTTCACCATGGGATGGATTTCACTATATTTTTAACCATAGGATGAGATTTTCATCCTTATCTCAAAAAATTACTTCTAGATAAAATAAAATTACATGTAGATAAATAGGATAGAATGTAATTTTGATTTTTACTATGGATGAATTTCACCATATTTTTAACCGTAGGATGAGATTCTCATAGTTATCTCAAAGTTATTTTAGATAAATAAAATTATATGTAGATATTAATCAAGTAAAACTTATCCGCACATAATGTATACAACAATCTAATACATGCATCTCATGTGTTTGAATTAATAATTCATTTTACACAATTTTAATTAATTAACACGTGTTTTACTTTATTACGTAACAATAAAAATTGTATTCGTTTAATGTATACACCGTGTGGATAAGATTTTACCATATTAAGATAGAATGTAATCTTCATATTCACCATTAGATGGATTTCATCTTATTATAAACGGTTGGATGAGATTCTCATAAGTACATTTAATATTTTTTAGATAAAACATTACATGTTATATAATGAACACCATTTACCACTTGAAGTCTGCACATTCATTTCATTTCAAAACATATTAAAGTAATTTGGTTTGTCCTTTGAAAATGAATTTCAATCTTGGAGATTGTTCTAATAATAATGATGAAGATTTTTCTTCTTCGTCATCATCTTCGTTAGATTTGGATTTTTTTCCTAGTACAGAACACCATGATAATTTAATAAATCAGCTACGTATGAACAACTACATGTTCCAACAAGTTCTACAATACCATACTAATGAAGTTTTCATAGGTGTCTCCATTCCAGGTCATGTGGTAATCAATCGTGATCGTGAGACGGTTGATGATAATTTATTTCGTGATTATTTTTCAGCCACACCACACTTTAATGATGCAATATTTCGCCGTCGTTATCGAATGTCCCGCAATTTGTTTCTTCGTATCGTTGATGCAATTAAAGATCACGACACGTACTTCGAACAACGCATTGATGCACTAGGTAGATTTGGATTATCTACTTTGCAAAAAATTACCGCTGTGTTTAGAATGTTGGCATACGGTTTGCCAGCGGATTCCACTGACGAATACGTGAAAATTGGAGAGTCAACTACGATTGAAAGTATGAAGAGATTTTGTTGAGCTATTGTAGAGGTTTTTGGTGAGCAATATTTGAGATCACCAACACCTAACGATGTTGGGAGGCTTCTACACATTGGTGAGCAACGTGGTTTTCCAGGAATGTTAGGTAGTCTAGATTCCATGCACTGGAAATGGAAAAATTGTCCAACGGCATGGGCTGGGCAATACGCAGGTCGTAGTGGATCACCAACAATTATTCTTGAAGTTGTTGCTGATTATGACCTTTGGATATGGCATGCTTATTTTGGTTTGCCTAGCACCAATAACAATATTAATGTTTTAGAGTCATCACATTTATTTTTCAATCTTGCTAGCGGTATTGCGCCTCCCGCCCATTATGTTATTCAAGGAAAAGAATACAATATGGGTTATTAGTTAGCTGATGATATATATCCTAAATGGTCTACAATTGTTCAAACTATTCGTGATCCTCATTCCCAACAAAAGAAATATTTCACGATGAAACAAGAATCATGCCAAAAAGATGTTGAACGTGCATTCGGAGTTTTGCAATCACGTTTTGCAATTATTGCAGGACCGTCACGTTTTTGAAGAAATGAAGTGCTACATGATATAATGACTATATGAATTATACTGCACAACATGATAATTGAGGATGAACGTGATCTCAATGCACCAATTCAAGATGTCGTAGAGGTTCCAACTCCAACTATAGAAATGGTGGTAGATGAAAATCTCCGGTTTGAACAATTTTTAGCTAAACATAAAAAAATTAAGGACAAAAATGCTCATTTTGAACTCCGTAATGCATTAATAGAGCATTTATGGGAGCAACGTAATAATTTTGAAAATTAAGTGTTTATGTAATTGTATGTCACTTTTATTTGAATTTGTCCCCTAATTTATGTATTATATTATATTTTCTTGCAATTTATGTTATTTAAAAATTTAGAATAAAAAATAATTTTATATCACGTTAAAAATTATATAAAGTAATTATTTGGGAAAACGAAATAAAGGATTTATATTATGAAATAAGAAAATAAGAATGAAATTGAAATAAGAAAATAAGAAAATAAGAATGAAATTGAAATAATAATATAATACTGAGGAGGAGAGAGAAAAAAATTCCTTTTTAGAAAGTAAAATAGAGAATTGGGTTGAAGTTGGTTATCTGAAAAAATAGAGAACTCTATATTTGGAGAGTAAAATAGAGGATTGGGTTGGAGATGCCCTAATATTAATATGTTAAAGTTGTCCCGTGAGCCATTTTGTTTATTTTACTTTAGTTATTTACTAATATTTTAATAATCTGTTTATTTGCTATTATTATTATATTATGGTTGTGTGAATCGTATATATATTAATTATTATATTTTTTGGAGTATTTCTTATCACTAATTTGAAAGATTGGTCAAACATTGATCCTGATATTATTTTGTTGGCACTGTTAGAGTAACTTAAGGAGTATTTTGATTTATCTTTTCCTTCATAATATAATTTTGAATTGATTTGCATTTTTCTTATGAGTGTTTATGTTCTACAATACCCTCATTGCAATGTTAGATTCATTTATTAGTTCTAAGTTTATTCTGAATTGTTTTTTTTTTTTTTTTTTTTTTTTTTTTATTATTATTATTATTATTATTATTATTATTATTATTATTATTATTATTATTATTATTTTGAGATAAGTAATTTGTTTGATTAGGTGTTTCTTATATGTTGGTTATATTTCTCAAATTATTTGAAATATTTTGTCCTTTCATTAAATTTATATATTTTGTTTGTTAAAATTGGCCAATGAGAAAATCTCTTCATCGATTTTGGAGGCCTTTCTAATGTTAAAAGACGGAAATTTATTTTAAATTCATATATTTTGTTTGTTAAAATTGGTCGATGAAGAAATTACCGTCTATTTTCAAGGCTCCAATGTTAATAAGACGGGTTTTTATTTTTAAGTTATTGTTTAATTCATTTAGTTTTATTAATATTTATTTATTACTAACACTTTTACTAAATGTCTTTACAGGTACATAGAGTTGCTTCCCATTGAAGCTTTATTCGAATGAAGTTCGAATTATATTTTTTATATATCGATGTTAGACAAACTTTAGGTCGTTTCTTATATTATTGTTTCATTTTATTACTTGTGTTTATCACTTGTTTATTATATATTTATATTTGTTTTTATCTCCTCCTCAATTTGAAAAAATGAATTCAATCGGGACCCACAATTGTGGATTTCGAAGGATGCCTAACACCTTCCTTTCGGAATAACTTGAACCCCTTACCTATAGTTTATTGATTTCGTAGATATGTTTAAATGGTTTCCTAGTTTTTCCTAAAATTAGGTGGCGACTCTCTTAAAATTCGTTTATTCTTAAAATTCTTTTAAAATTGAATTAATTGTTTTTTTTTTTGAGTCACCGCGACGTTTCTTCTAACAGAAATTAATAACACATTTAACTATTTAGACTATGTGTTTGAAGGCCTATACATATAATCTCCCTGTAACTAACATTGTATTATGTAATTAAATACATGTCTAATTATTCAGTTAAGCCTAGCTTATCTGGATGTCAAGCAATTGCTATAGAACTCTGAACACAAGCTTTTGATTCTGTAGGGGCAAATTTTGATGGACATAGGCCTAAAATTTGTGGGTCTTGACTTCCTTTACGTTGAAATCCCTCATCTTCATTGTCCCCAAGCTTCAAGTAGCTTGAGAGGGTCTTTTGAGTAACCCTAGTCTATTTTACTATTGAAGTGGCGGAGGAATAATTAAAAAAATTGACTTTTTGAGTTTCTATTCCATCAACCCCACTATCGCTGCTATAGCACCGTTGATATAGCAAGAAAATTTCAACTATGGCTGGATGGCATCAGTCAGATCAAATTCAAAATCCAAAATTTTTGTTGTGCCACCCCAATTTAATGTGGTAGTGTATTTAATTTTTTTTTGAGATTTCACACGAGGTGCCTTTTGAATAACGACGGATGGGTCGTATCCCAAAAGGAACCTTGTGCGAAATCCCAAAAAAATTGAAATACACTACCAAATTAAATTGGGTGGCACGATGAAAAAATTGTAATTGGAACTTGATTTGGGTTGATGTCATCCCGCCATAATGAAAAAAAATTCATTATTACAGTGCCACTGTAGCAGCGTGTCAGTCGTTATAGTAGGCTTGACGAGATAGAAACACGGATTCTTTTAATTTCCTCCTCTTTAATGGTAAAATAAGCTAGGGTTTACTCAAAAATACCCTCATAAGCTGCTCCAAGCTTGGGAACAATGGAGATGAGGGATTTCAGCACAAGAAGTGTTGAAATCTATAGGATTCTGGCCTACGTCCATCAAAATTTGCCCCTATGGAGCCAGAAGCTCGCAATCAGAGTTCTTCAACAGTTGATTGGCATTCAGGTAGTCTTAACTAGGTAGTTAGACATGTCTTTAATTATATAATACTATGTCCGTTATCGAGAAATTATATGTATAGACCTTCGAGCATGGAATCTGGATGGGTCAAATGCATTACCAATTATTGTTGGGGTGGTAATGGACTTGACTAGCTAATGTTGACCTTATGCTGAGTGTTGGGTATTATTCTGAGGGATTTGGATTGTGGCTAATTGGATAGTGAGCGGGAAACGGACTGGAGGGAGTCTTTTAGAGTTGGTGATGTTTGTTTGATATTTGTTGATGTTATATATGTGCTTGCCAACTGCTTCGTTAGTATTACTTGTATAATCTATGGTTATAGATATAAAATGAGTATAAATTGAAATGCTAGCTTGTGTCAATCTCATGCAATTGAATATGTTTACTTGGGTATACAAGTATGATTTTATTGATTGTGATTATGATGTCTGATTGCTGGTTGGATCGGGTGACATGCCTAGTACATATATACTAACAATTGGCACGGGTACTACACCCGATACATGATATCTCTTAATTAGCTCAGGTACCATGCTCAATACATATTCGGTTGACTCGAATACCACGTCAAGTATATAATATCTTATTGGTTGGCACATATACCACATAAGTACACATTTACTAACGATTGGATCAAGTATCACGCATGGTACATGTGTTTTCTCTATGTGTTAGTTCCTTCAGTGGACCAAATTTATTTATTGTATTGTATTTATCACATGTTGGTACTTGAGTGATTAAGTGTATTTAAATGCTAAAGTGATCCTTATAAAGATCGGGATTGCATGTTAAATACCATAGACAATGTTTTTGGGATCCTTAGGTAGTCCAAATTATTTGTGATGATGTTTGAATCATGTGTAGGTTGAGTCAAGAGAAATAAGAAGGGTTTACTGGTTAATAGAGTTATATGTTTGTAGATTTGAGATCAGGAATGGATTTAGTAAAAAATACTCTGGTCTTAGCATAGTGTGTGGCCTTGAAAAGTCATTAGTGATAAAAGGTTAGGCGAATATTGACTAGGAAAGTGAAACGACTCTTAATGGGGAGTTGGTAGTGGAATAAAGTGGGTGACTTGGGAATACAATGTATGAATCCAAGGTGGTGGGACTCAATGGCTAAAAGATTGGGGGTGGATTGTTCATGTCTAATGTTTTGTTCTAATTATTTACATGTTATTATGTGGCGGATTTGGATTGATGTATAGTGCTGATTAGTACATGTTGTTTGTACTGATACTACTCTTGTTGTGCCACTGGGCATAGTCTCATTGCAAGATCTTTGATATTTCTTAGGTGAAGAGGATAATGATTTTCGACAACTTCTACCTTCTTTCTTTATGGTGGGAGTTGTGCCTTATTTTCGTTCATTATTTGTACTTTCTTAGAAGCTTTTGTAACTATTTAAACTAGTTTCTAAGGAGGGATGTAGATATTTTCAAAGATGTGTTTTGTTAATGTTGACAATTGGTTTTCATAATTAATTAAGTTGATTTGTTGAATTTTATTTATTTTTGTGAATTATCAATTTTAAATTGGATGGTAAGAATTCTTCTAAAGCGCTAGCACGGTCTGATAGTTTGGATCGTGACAATTCTCTAGTTAATAAGTGGAGACCGCACAACCCTTTCATGCAAGACCTACCTGGAGTGTGGAACAAACACCTCCTTCACGTCAAGCTTAAACTAGAGTTTGGATCGAGAGTCAAAATACGAATGAACCTGACTTTATTGCTCTTATAACATATTAAATATTGGGGAGGATTTGCAAATTAAATGAGATATTTAAGATTCGAGATGAATTATTTATTTTTAAGATCACCACGTGTTCTTCGATTAAAAATAAGGATAAATTAATGTAAAAGTATAGTGGAATGGATATATATGGACCGAAAATATAATTAGAAGGTATATTTGAAACGAAAGTTTAACGATGAGTGTATTTAAACTATTTTCAATAGTATAGGTGTA